TACTATCCCTGAGGGCAAAGGATCATAAACTGCAGGAAATATTTTATAACACTGAATTTTGGGGATAGTATAAGATGTTTATGGCTAAGTCTAGTGCAGCACTGCCTGAAGTAGTGTGCATTAGATCTGCAATACTTAGTTGAGGATTTTCTGCCTGAGTATTATTTCCTGGCTGACAAGAAAGAAACAGCTCATGCTTGTTGCTTTGAGGCCTCAAGCCAGCCACACACACCCCCATATCATTTCCCAACAGCAAGACATTGCCTTGGATATCTCTATTGGCCCTACACTCATTGGTCCAGTGGCAACCCTTGCCACATCATCTGCACACCCCTGGAAGCCTGGGCCACCTTTCTGATTTATATTTAGAAAAAACATTGCCCTTAAAATGCATTGTTCATGGTTTATTTCAAATGTCCATATTTCCCACAATTAAAACACTGGGCATTTTTACATCGGAGGCCTTTACCAATAGTTTGACCTATTATATTAGCATGGTATATGTTAGAACCAATATCACTTGTATCTTTTATCCATTTGTCCATGGGTGCTGCCCATGCCTTTGGTGGTCTTATGACTTTACACTCTACATTTACATTTTTCGAATGCTAGGGTCTCTATCAACTACCTGTCTTGTATCAGGGAGGGTCTGATAGTGTCTTATTTACTACTGAGACCAACCTTTGTGAAGGCTTCTCCAGAGCCTTGTTTAATTTTTGTAAATGATGTGAGCTTCTTTCCTGGCTCCTCAACTTTGTCCCATGCTCTTAAAGCTGGTAAATGACGTTGTTCTATGATTGCATTTTCAAATTAAACCTGTTTTTTTATCAGCATATCAACCTTGACCTATCAACTGGTCCCTCGCTGTGTTAATTCCCTTCACTCTTCTTGTGCTGTTCCAAATTCCTGGCTGCTTCTCTCCACCACAACAACCACTGCAATTGAGGACCAGCCTCTAACACAGCTGTTACCAATCCCCTTCAATCTTGGGAAATAATTCTATTTTGGTAGCACAATAATTTACAATTTGTTTCACATAAGACAAGTGCATCCCATGAAACATCATTGCCTCTTTAAAATGTCTTGGGTCCATCATTTCTACAGGGTGCCATCCTACTTCATCATAACCTTGTGGAATACCCCCACTAGCAGGCATATGCTGTATTAACTACTAGAAATGCTGTTGGTGATTTTGTGACCCAGGCCTATCTGTCCTCAAAAGGCGCTGTGAGTTTAACCCTGTCTCCTGAAAAAGGCTGTCTTATCTGCCCATCCTACTTTTTCATGTCTTTGACTTGACTGCTCTCTGACAGTTCCTTCCTTTCCCTCTTTCTACCTGAGAGAAACTCCCTCTCTCTGGTTCAGTTACTAGGAATGAACCTACTTGTTTTCCCTTTTCTTGACTTTTTCTTCCATTTTTATTTATTATTATTCGAAGCAACTGTATTTCCATCCTTTTCAGCAGCTCAGCAAGTCTTCTGCTTTTTTATTCCCAAGCTTCTCTAATTTCATCCTTCCCAGTAGCTCAGCCAGTCTTTTTTCTAATTCCACCTGCATTTTTTCCAGTTGCTCAGCCACTTTAATAAACAAAATTGGCCAAAATGAGAAAAAGGAGAAAACACACTGCTGCTAAAAAACATGAGGGGCACGTCCCAGAAACAGCCTCATCAAAAGCCCTGTCGAGCTGTTGTCTTTCCTGCTCAAATGGAAAGGTATCCTGAGGCTAGGGAGCCCAGGAACCACATGGCTTTTAGGGAAGCAGGTATCCCAATGGAAGGGTATTTATCCTGAGACACAGAAGCCTAGGAACCACACAGCTCTGAGAGGAGGCATGGACAGCTCCTGTGCTGATTTCTCATGATGGCAGCAGTCTGAGGGGAGGTGTCATTGTCTTGACCGATGCAGCCATGTTGACAGAGCCCCCATTTTGACAGCTCCTATGGCAGTACCTTATGGAAGGGCAGTAGAGGCTGGGGCAGGAAGGAGGGGTTGCTGCTTTGGCAGCTCTGGCGGTGCCCTGCTCAGGAACTACATTTGGCTTTTGAAACCAAAAAGTACCCATCCCTTCATTTTCTGTCTTTTGCTCTATCATACTTGAAATCATTTTCCTACAAACAGCCCTACATTGGACGCCAAAAATAGCCTTTAGATATTATTACTATTATTACTATTAGTAGTAGTATCATTCTTTTTCACTTTGCTACTTCGTTTGTGGGTTCTTCTCTTAACAATATCTTCTTTGTCTCAGCTCAGCTTCTCCTAGCTCAAGTGTCACCAACTGTTCTTCTGTTCTTACTCTGCTAGCCCAATTCACTTTCAACTGTCTCCTGCTTTCACTCTGCTCAATCTCTTTTCTTCTCTCTAGCCTCACTCTCTCTTCCTGCACCCTGTTCTCTGACCCTGTTCTCTTCCAGCTGGACCCTCCTCCTGCCTACTCCCCAATCCTACTACTCCCCACCCTCACATCGTCTGCTGGCTTTTTATGTCCTCTCCTGTTCCTGTTGTAGAAAACATTTGGCTATTAGTGTCTACTATTAATCCATATAATTATTACAGTAGTTATTATTTAACCCGCTACCATATCAATAAAAGCCAGAGATGCCTGTTAGAGAAAGCTATGTAAGGGAGCAACACAGAGAACGAGAGAGAGAAGAGGCAGTTTTTTCGGGAGAGTTTTACAGAGAGAGATTGAATGAGGGCACAAGCTAAACATAGTGAAGACAGAATAAGCCAAAAAAAATGAAAAGGAGCTAAAAGATTATAAAAGATTGCTGGAGTTACTTTGAGGCCAAGCAGAGCATTTCAGAGGCCAAGAGAAAAGCCATATTGTATAAGTCAGCTGGGAGAGGAGTTTGAGCAGAACAGCTGAGTTGAACCAGCCTTTCAGTAAGAACAAGAAAGGGTGAACTTATTAATCAGTAAATCTCAGAGGCTGAAAACATTCCACACCTAAGTTAGGTTATGTGGAGGCTAGAAGCTTCCATGACTCGGCCTAGATTAGCGGCAGTAATCCTGAGACAGCAACTGTAAGAGGCGAATAAAAGTTCCTTTTACATGTAGGCATCTTTATTCAGTCAATCAGGAATCATTTTGGAGGCAAAGTCCACAAATGTCATTTCTGGTCAGTGATCAGAAATGTGAAAGACAGCAAGTAAACCTCAGGGAGCAAAATAATGAACAAATACAAAGCACCTGACAGGACGCAAACCGAAGGGAGTAAAATAGTTAACAATCAACTACAAAGCACCTTACCATGCTCTAAGATGTTCCCAGAAGTTCAAGAGGCAACTGACACTGGAGGGCTTAGGGTCCTTTAAAGGGCCAGGCACACAAAACAAACCATACATGCCAACAAAATAAATACATTCTGTAAACTGATCTAGAGGGCTAGAGCGATGGCTCAGAGGTTAAGAGCTGTTCTTGCAAGAGGACCCGAGTTTGATTCCCAGCACCCACATCAGGCAGCTCATAACTGCCTATAACTCCAGCTCCAGGGGATCTTCCTGAATATTCTGATAGTCCTCTGACCTACACACACAAATAAGTAGTAATTTTTTAAGAAAATTGTTTTCAAAAAACCAAAAACTCATGTTTAGAATAGTTAAAAAAAAAAAAATTGGAGATTCATGTTGTAATTCTAGCACTGGCAAAGTCAGAAAAGGCAGAAGGGTCCAGTGTTTGAAGCCAGACTAGGCTACATAGTGAGACACTTACCCATTTTCAGAGGCCATGCATTTGAAAGACACTAACGAGGGTTTATGGGAGGGTTATACATGAAAAGGAGATGGAGAAGGGGCATAATTATATTAACCTCAAAAATAAATACTTAGGCAGGTATGGTGGCACATACCTTTGATTCCAGCACTCGGGAGGCAGAGGCAGGTATAGTTCTGAGTTTGAGACAAAGTGAGTTCTGGGATAGCCATAATAAAGAAAAAAGAAAAGAAAAAAAGAATTAAAAAAAATATATATATATACATACATACATACATGAAAGAGAAACAACCATAAGTTTCAAGTGGCTCACTTACCAGAACTAATATGGGAACTTCAAGTAAAAGGGCAATGAGCTTTCCGCACACACACAGTATTATATAGTGGGACTGTTGAGTGTGAACACTAACAGTTTTTAATGAGGAGACCAAAAAGCTCCTGAAGAACATGAAGTAAAAAATAAATATAGCTGGGTGTGATGGACAGCTTTAATCCCAGTACTTGAGAGGCAGGCACAGGCAGATCTCCGAGTTTTGAGGCCAGCCCGATCTGCATAGAGAACTAGAGACAAGCCAGAATTACATAGCCCCTGTCTCAGAAAAACAATACACCCATACACATAAAGGCAGAAAAATTAATATAAGGCTGAAAATATACAATTATAAATTATATGCCAGGAACCTACCATTGGTTTGAAAATATTAATACATAGACGTATAAGTGTGTAACATATACACTTCAATAGACTGAATTACAAAGTTTCTGTTTGAATTTACTACAATATATTTTGCCAATTGAGCCTGGCCTTTCAAGAAGGCGTGGTCATGCCCTTTAACACGGAAGCTTCATGCTCTCAGAACCCACGCGTGGCCTCCCCGCCGACTGTGTTCCTCCAGGGTGCTGACTTACAGCACCGCGGTGAATCTGGTACCCACGTCTCTTCACAGTCTGCTAGTCAAGGCTTTTCCTGGAGGAGACCTGGGGGCCCTGCTGGGGTTCCAGCACTGAACCGGGCTCCAGGGGACGGCCTCCCACTTCCTCCTCGTGCTGCACGCCCATCTGAGTCTCCTCGCAAAGTAATGACTCCAAGCGAGGCGTTGGCGCGACTCGCTTCTTCACCTGCTGCTCAACGACCCAGCACCGCGAACGCCGACCGACTGGCCCCGCCTCCGCCCCGCCTCCACCCCGCCTCCCGCTTTTCCCGCGCGGATGCCGCCACTTCCGGAAAAATGCGCAGCCTACAGGAAGTCCTCCCGTTATGGATAAGAGGGGGCTTCCGTCTCCGGTGTCATGGCGGCCTCCTGTCCTGAAGGCGTGCCGGAGGCCCAGGATGGAAAGAGAAGGCAGTTCGGGAACCGGTTCCTGAACGACCCTACGCGCGTCTTCCACCATAACGCCTGGTAACTACCCTGTCCCACGCTCGGCTCTCGCAACCCCGGGGCGCTTCGACAAAGCCTTGCCCGCTGGCCCTCCCGAGGAGGCGTTCCCGGGCCCGCGCCTTACCCTGCCCGCAGCCGGGACGTGAGGGCCCTAAGCTGCCCATTTGGTTTTCACAGGGACAACGTGACGTGGTCAGAGGAGCAGGCCGCGGCGGCGGAGAGGAAAGTGCAGGAGAACAGTTCTCAGCTGGTGTGCCCCGAAAAGCAAGGTGCGCTCAGTGTTTTCCACAGCCGGCAGTGCGGGACACGCCTCCTGGAGGCACGCAGATGTGCGGCCACCAGGATCATTTGTTACGGGCCTGATGAAGAACTATGGCATAGAACCGGGTGGGGAGGGGACGGGCTAGGAGGTTTTGCCTCTAACAAAATCTTGGTGGAACTTGATCGTTCGATCATCTTAGGATAGCTTCTACAGTTTACATTCTGCTGGAGAGTTTTCATTACACCTCGATTGATGTGCTCAGACCTTAAATACTGTTGGAGGAAAGGATTATTGCATGATACTTCTTTTCCTGAGGTGATGGGTTTTGGAGATTTGGGACTTCTATCAAAGAAAGATGGGTGTAGCAGAATGAAGATCAGTCTGGTCAAATAAAAAGAGGCCCTTTTCGAAGAATAATTTCATTGTAAAATACTCTTAAGATTGCTTAAAAACTGGTTGGCACTACTTCTAAGAGGCATTTGAAAGTAAAACTGGGACTTTAAGATAATAGGCACTGACAAAGTTTCTGTGTACTAAGATCACAGTACTGGCCAAGCATGTACCACCAAGGATGTAGTGGTGTAATAGGCAGAGGCAGGAGGATGAGTAGGTGAAGATCATCCTTGCTCCATAGAACTCCGATCTATCCTGGACTACCTGAGAACTTGTCTCCAAAATAAATACATGTATGTACATATGTATTTCAGTTGCAAAATAGGCACCCTGCATTGTTTGATAAGACTAAGTAAAGCAACATAGAGTTGAAAGGGATTGAAAATCATGTAGCTCAATATCCTCTTTTTACATTTAAAGACCCGGTTAGCCAAGTGCAGTGGTGTATACCTATAGACTCAGCTATGGGAGGCTGAGGCAGAAGGATCACTGAATTGGAGGCCATCCTGGGCAACATGGGGTGATCTTGTCTCCAAAAAAATTAAACTTAGACAAAAGGGCCAAGGAGTGCTTTGCCTAGAGGTAAGCAGTCAGTGGTGGACTCCCATTTCTTAGGTTTTTTTCCTTTCATCTTTCAAGTCGAGGTCAAAGCAGAAAGACAACCCACATCAGTCTCCCCAATCACTGAAACTCTTCTTACTTCTGGAAGGCAGTTTCCCATTGTCTAGCTGTCTTACAGTATTCATTACTAGTCTTGTGTGGCCTCCACGTTCTAAAGAAGCAAGAACTTACCTTCTGAAGAGCTGCATGGATGATAATCATTGAATTTATACAAACATCCACAGAACCTGAGACATTTAGCTTGTAAATAAAAAAATTTACAGGGGAAAACAATTAGCATAGCACAGGTACCAAAAAACAATATCTGTTCCTGACAAATAGAACCTTGAAGCTAAGAGTAATTAGGTTTTTACCTAAGTGTGAGCCTGCACATGCATATGCATGTGGTATGGTGTGCTAAGGGCTTGCTTAGTGTCATGATTCTCCTGTAGTCGAATGCCACCCAAAGATATGGGAGGAAAATGTCTAATGGTTCTAGCAGACGCTGGGTTCCCTGGGAATGAAAAGTGGGTGATATTAGTGTATAGATAACAAGACAATTACCAGAGAAGGTGTTCAGTTCTAAGGCTGTGACTCTTAAGGATACTTTGAGAGTAAAATGACATTTGGTGAAGCAGGACAATTGACATTAGATATAAATAAAATATTTGAGACTGACTCTTAAAATTTTGTTTTAAATATTTGCAGTTGATTATGAGGTCAATGCCCACAAATACTGGAATGACTTCTACAAAATTCATGAAAATGGGTTTTTCAAGGATAGACACTGGCTTTTTACCGAATTCCCTGAACTGGCACCTAGCCACAATCACGCGACAGATTTGCCCTTGGAGAACTGGAGTAATGAGGTCTGTAAACACAGAAGCAGTGATGATGGACCCGCCTTAAAAACAGAACAACGCACATGTTCTTATACCAGCCACGGGTGCAAGACTCAGGTGCCTCCTGTGGAAGAGACGGTGACGCAGAAGCTCACTCACCTAGAAATCCATGCTGATGAATTTCCTGGATCCTCAGCCACCTACCGAATACTTGAGGTAACTTTTTCTAGTAATCGAGCTAGCGAAGATGCCACATTTTAAGTGCAGGTAGACCAGAAAGGCTGACCCAGTGTGTCTTCTCTCTGATAAACCTGACTAGATTTGAGCCTCATTTCAGCCCGGAATCATCGCCATTTTTATTTATTATTTTGTACTTTTTTTTTTTAAACTGGGAAAATGCTGGGCAAGTGCTATAAGGGAAATTCACAAATAGAATTCCACCAACTTCACTGGAAGGTGATTCTTAAGCTAGTAAAACTTGGAATCAAGTCCAATGCCATGGGGATGGGGGTGAGGGGCAGTGCTGGCAGTTGGACCCAAGACTTCAAAGAGATTTGACAAGCTCTTTACCACATAGTTAATCCCTATTACCTCCTATGAGATTCTACAGAAGCCTATGTCCTGACTAGACTATTGGGACCCTCTTGATCTTATAGTTATAAGGAACTTTGAAGTAATGAAGTATATCTGATATATATATATGTATAAATATATATATATGTATATACACACACACATATATATATCTGACCTTAGAAGGTGTTATGTGTACTTTATAAAGAATTTCAGTGTATTCTCATTTGATCTTTATTTAGCTTATTTTGTTCCTCAAAGAGGTTTATGTCTGCTTTATTGTGCACATAAGATTGAGTTAATTATCACTAGAAAAGTTTTCACCAAATCCTGCTGTGCTTAAAAATAGGCCTAAAACAAAACACTCAGGGTCAGACTCCCCACTAAGTATGAACCAACACTGACTATTTGCTCGTGTTGAACTGAACTACCATCTTGCCTCCCAGATGGTTTCTGCTGGCCGTAGAGGTTGCAAAGACCCTGCGCTCTATCTTTCTAACCATGGTATAGTGAAACTCTTTAGAAAAATAGTATATCCATAGGGCCTTCTCCTAGAAATAAGAAAGTGCAAGTAGTGCATGCCCTTTCTTCAGACTACCTTTCTTCCACTGGTGAAAGCCAGTGTTCTTGCCTCTTTAATTAGAGTCCACAAGGGGTCTGTGAATGTCATGGGTCCTGTTTAGTTTTGGTCACTATACCTTTCCTAGTACAATTCTTGCTTTTTTGGTTTTTCAAGACAGGGTTTCTCTGTGTAGCCTTGGCTGTCCTGAACTCATTTTGTAGACCATGGTGGCCTTGAACTTACAGAGATGCACCTGCCTCTGCCTCTCTAGTGCTGGGATTACAGGCGTGCTCCACCGCACCCGGCTACCCTAGTACATTACAGGCATGATAGTGCCTATAGTCCTGGAACTCAGGAGTCTGAGGCTGGAAAACCATAAATCATAGATCATCCTGGACTCTGTTAAGGAATTTAAAAAAAAAAAAAAAAAAAAAAAAAAAGAAGAGGAGAAGGGGGAGGAAAAAAATGAGAAAGGGGAGTGGGAAAAGAGGGTTAGTCAGTAACTTCTGGAACTAATGGCTTGTGTTTGTTGCAGGTTGGTTGTGGTGTAGGAAACACAGTCTTTCCAATTTTACAAACTAACAAGTAAGTATGTTGTCAGGTTTACGAGAGAGAAAAGAGGAAAGATGAGAGTTTGCTCCTGGAAGCATGAGTTATTAGGGATTTAGATACCCATTTAGGGGTGGCTTTAGTTTAATGTTAAGGAAGTTAGAGATGACACCAGCTGCAGTGCTAATACGCAATGCCTCCTCTGAGATGCCCAACATATCTTCATGTTCTATTTCTCTTGTGAGCTCTGTAAGGATATTGTTAGGTTAACTCTTACCCACACACCACCAAGGTCAAGGTGGGACAGCTAGCCTATGTGAAGGTGTCTCCAAGTCTCCTAAAAATCTGCTTCTGTGCACTTACACACAGCACTGTGACAGCAGGCGTGTGAAGTAGTAGTAGCCAGATCTCCTGCACTTGAAATCATTCGGTTCAGTTCCAGTATTGTCTCCTTGGGGTTAGCATCAAATCCCACAGATTAAAGGCTTAGTCTTATAAGACTTCTCCCACTTGAGAGTCTTGCAGCAAACACAGGCCCCCACACTTCCAGTCAAGAAAGTCCACAGTTCTCTCCTAGATTGAGAGGCTAGTTTTGCTGTTCATTATCAGGGTTGTTGTAAGGATGCAGAGAGGAAATAGCCAGGTGAGGAGATACAGGGCGATGTCTAAAGTCTCTGTGCTTGGGTTCATCCCATCTTCCCTTCCCAGCCCCTTTCCATGAGGATGGTGAGGAGACTAAAAGTGGGAACTCTGCATCTCCCGGTTGCCACACTTCTGCCATTCGGAAACCCTTAGACTTTAGGAGCCTTGCCTGGAGACACTGTGTTTTTGTTTCTCATCACATCTATTTTCTTTTTTTTAATATTTATTTATTATTTATACATTATTCTGCCTGCACATACACCTACATGCCAGAAAAGAGCACAGGATCTCATTATAGATTGCTGAGAGCCACCATGTGGTGGCTGGGAATTGAACTCAGGACTTTTGGTAGAACAGCCAGTGCTCTTAACCTCTAAGCCATCTCTCCAGCCCATCACATCTATTTTCAAGGCATCCTTGGAAATGACATTCTAATTTCCGATGCTACAGGTAACCCATTGTTCCTCAAAGGATCCATCTAAATATTTTTCCAGGTTAGCCCGCAGTGTTTAGTCACATTTAGTAACACATTAGCCTCATTCAAAACACATATTTCTGGGGGCTGGAGAGATGGCTCAAAGGTTAAGAGGACTGCTTGTTCTTCCAGGGGTCCTGAGTTTAATCCCCAGCAACCACATGGTAGCTCACAACCATCTATAATGAGCTCTGATTCCCTTTTCTAGTGATAAGGTGTACATACAGGCAAAACATTGTATGCATAATAAAATAAATAAATCTTAAAAAAAAAAAAAAAAAGCAACCCTTATTTCAGGCTGGGAATGATTATACACACCTTTAATTCCATCAAAGGCAAGCAGATGTATGAGTCAACCTGGTCCACCTAGTAAGACCATACCTGCAGGGTAGCCAGGGAGGAAGGGTCCTTACTGCCAAGGCTGACACCTGAGTTCAGTTCCCAGAACATAGTGGAAGGAGAGAACTGACTCCCTTAAGTTATCAGCTGACCTCATACACACAGACACACAATATAAATAAATGTATTTTTTACAGTTTTTTATTGGGCTGGGATGTTGCTCAGTTGATAAAATGCTTTCCCAGCATTCATGAAGCTCTGGGTTCACTTGGCATCTCTGTAACTGAGCATGGGGCATACAACTGGAACCCAGTACTGAAGAGATAGAGTGGGAGGATCATAAGTTCAAGGTCATCCTTGGCCACATAACAAGTTCAAGGCAAATCTGGGATAAGGAGATCAGAAACAAAAAGGTCAAAGGTTATTGCAAAAAGCTTATTAGAGAATCTGGCAAGTCTTGTAGTATGTCACATTCTCAGTAATTCCCTTCAAACAAGAGTGTGTCTTAACCTCTCAAGAATTATATGGGTCTTCATGATTTTACAGCAAGCACCAATAGCCACTGTGACTGCCATTTATGTAAGATAACTAGAACTCATTTGCTGATGTAACGCTTGCTTAGAAATGACAGGGTTTCCTACTGATGGTTTGATAAACTTAATATTAACCATACCACATGACCTAAGAAAAGATAAGGACCACAGAGTGCTGGACGTTGCCGCTGATAGGTCCAGTTTATCTGGATAGGTGGTATTTGTTGTTGACGTTGCTACTCTACAAAGAGAACGTGCATATCCATTTTGTCTCCTGATTGTATTGTGTTTTTTTTTTCCTGCCTATTTCAGTAACCCAAACCTCTTCGTGTACTGTTGTGATTTTTCTGCCACAGCTATTGAACTGGTCAAGGTAAGTACAATGGCTCCTGTGATCTCCACTAATGAAAGAAAAAGAAGGTCTCCTTAAACTCACTGGCAGGGTGCAGTGACACAGGCTTTTAATGCCAGCATTCAAGGAGGCAGAGGCAGGCGGATCTCTTGAGTTCAAGGCCAGCCTGGTCTACAAAACAGGTCCAAGGCTACATAGAAACCCTGTCTCAAAAAAAAACAACCAAACAAAGGCAAACCAACCAAACAAAAAAACTCAAGTTCACTAACTCTATTATTGTGGCCTGAAAGTTTGGAAAGTTAGTGAAGCTGGAATACAGAGCCGGGCAAGAATTCTTCAGACTTTAAAATTAGGTATGTGAGTGAGTGTCAGTGGCATCAGAGGCTTGGATTCTGTGGGGCTGTCTTTACAGGCAGTTGTAAGCTGCCTGATGTGACTGCTGGGATGCAAACTCATGTCCTCTGCAGTAGCAATATGCTGTGCTCTTTAACTATGGAGCCATGTCCAAACATTTTTGTTGTTGGGTTTTGTTTTTAGTGGGTTTTTGTTTTTGGTTTGTTTTGGTTTTTGTTATTTTTTGAGACATGGTCTCATGCACCTAATAATGACCTTGAACTTGCTATGTTCTGATCTTTCTGCCTTCACTTCGAAAGTGCTAGAATTTCAGGTGTGCACCATGACTAATTCTGATTCTTACAATCTGGGTGTCCATGGAAAGCTTATGGTGACTGGAAGTAAATCCTTTTGTTGGGAGTAACAGTGGGGGGATGTAAAGCCAGGTAAGCTTTTCTCTGCACTGTATTCACATTTTCTGACATATTTGTCTCTCCACCCATCTGCAGACAAATCCAGAATATGATCCTTCTCGCTGTCTTGCCTTTGTTCATGACTTATGTGATGAAAATCAGAGTTACCCCATGCCCAAGGATAGTCTTGATGTTGTCGTTCTTATATTTGTTCTTTCAGCAATTGTTCCAGACAAGTAAGTTCTAGGTGCTTAACTAAGATAAAGCTTTAACTGAAGACCTTAGCCTCCGATTATGCCCTAAATAGCAAGGGCTTCCTTGTGTCTAATAGACGTAGGAAGCCACGCATCTGTTGTGTTGGTGTCCACCTTCTTAGTCAGCCCTGAACCCTCTGCCTGCTGGCTGTGGACTGGCTGCTGCTTTCACTGTGGGGGACTGTGAAGACTGGGCAGATCCCACTCAGTGCACTCAGCACGTGCTGCCTCAGTCAAGGAGGCCATCTCGTTATTGGCCTTCTAAATGCTTGAAATGAGACAAGGTTCTTAATGCCCCAAGATTTGCAAACTGAACTGTCTTCTCTGGAGCTTACGTTTGTAAGAGAGCTAAAATGCAGCATTCCATAAAGTCAGGTTGACATAAAAGGGAACTCAAAGGCTGGGTGTAGTGGTGCACACCTTTATTCCCAGCATTCCAGAGGCAGAGGAAGATGCATGTTTATGAATTTTAGGCCAGCCTCGTCTATCTAGAGAATTCTAGGACAGACAGGGCTGTTACAGAGAAACCCTGCCTTGAGCAGGGAACAGGTGGAATAATTCAGGTGCTCCATTGGGGAAGATACCCTTTAAGGGTCTGGAGAGATGGTTCAGTGGTTAAGAGCACTGGCTGCCCTTAAAAAGCACTGAAGTTGATTTTTAGCATTCACATGGTGATTCACAGCCAACTATAACTCAGGTCCAAGGGATCCAACATCCCTTCCTGGCCTCCATGGGCACTGTATACACAGGGTGCGTGTGTATGTAAACACGTATGTACCTGAAACAAGTTTTTTTAAAGATACTATTTTAAAACTTCATATAGGGTCAATAAGATGGCTCAGCGGGTAAAGGAGCTTCTGTAACATACTTTTATAAGTTCATGTGCAGATATCTGGTGATGGAGCTCAGTAGTAGAGCATGTGTTTAGCATGAGTGCCTGAGGGCGTGGCTTGATGGTAGCATGTGCTTCACACGCACAGAGAGTTAGGGTTCATTCCCTAAACCAGGAAAACATAAGAAGGAAGCATGGTGCCATGCCCTGTGGTCTCAGTGATACAGGGGCCTGAGGCTGAGTCCGCCCTGAAGTTCAAGGGCATCTTGGGCAACAGAGCAAGAGGCTAGCTCCAAAAGCAGAGTACCTGTGTGCACCAGGCCACTGTAACCCCATGAAGTCAAGTCACATATAAAGATGTTAAGATTCAGGCACCATTCACTGATGTGGAGAAGCTTTTACCACAGCCTAACTGAGCTAGCCAACTTTTCCTCTAGATTAGCAAGGAAGTTCTCTGGCATCACAGGAGTATGTAAGGCTTTGAAAAGGTGCTATAAATACTTAATCCTGTGCCAGACTTTTAGAGAATGCTACATGAGCATCTACTTATGAAGAAAAAAAAGTTATTTTGGCTTGTGTTTCCAGGGTCCCCACATCCTTCCTGGTGACCTTAAGGTCCCACCATTTGAGTTCCTACCACCTTTTAGAAGAGGCCATGCTTTTGACATGGGGTCCTCTGAGAAAAAGCACAGTAGTAACAAATGAGAAGCTCTCCCAGTGGCGCTCATCTGCCTGTTGCTTACAGCACCATGTAAGCCGGAAGGCTTTTATTTTTTGTTTTGAGACAGGGTTTCTCTGTGTAGCCCTGGCTGTGCTGGACTCACTTTGTAGACTAGGCTGGCCTCGAACTCCTTTAGTGTTGCTGTGAGAGTTAGGAAATCTGTTGTGTTGGGGTTTGTGCTGTTGGAGAGGGAAGTCCATCCCTAAGGAGACTTATGCTTGGCTCCCTGCTGCCCTGCAGGATGCAGAAAGCTATCAACAGGCTAAGCAGACTCCTGAAGCCTGGAGGGGTGATGCTTCTTCGAGACTATGGCCGATATGACATGGCTCAGCTTCGGTTTAAAAAAGGTATGTGAGGGTCTGGAGAGATGAATCATGGTTAAGATTACTGGCTGTCCTTAGAGAAAACCCGAATTTAGTTTCCAGTAGAGACATGGCAGGTCTCAACTCTATGTAACTCCAGTTCCAGAGGATCTGGTGGCCTCTTCTGGCCTCAGCAGGCACTGGGCATTCATGTCATAAAGAGACATACATGTAAACAGAATACAACACAAAAGAAAATGTTTTAAAATATATAAAACATGACCAGCTATGATGGCATATGATTAGTATCAGCACTCAGGAGACAGAGGCAGGAAGATCACTGTGACTTCAAGTCAAGCTTGATGGTTTCCATAGTAAGTTCCAGGTCAGCCAGGACTACACAGTACCATATTCTCTACAAAAAATTAAAGTGTGTGTGTGTATAGAGAAAATTTGGGGCTAAGGTACAATAGCTCATTTGGTAGAGTGTGTCTTGGTTAGGGTTACTGTTGACATGATGAAACACCATGACCAAAAGCAACATGGGGAAGAAAAGGTTTATTTGGCTTATACTTGTACATTGTAGCCCATCAGTGAAAGAAGACAGGACAGGAAACTGGAGGCAGGAGCTAATGCAGAGTCCATGGAGAAGGGCTGCTTACTGGTGTGCTCTGCCTATTTCCTTATAGAGCCCAGGACTGCTAACTAGCCCAGGGATAGCACCACCCACAGTGGGCTGTTCTCCCCCCACACAGGCTTGCCCAGAGCCTGGTTTGTTGTTTTGTTTTGTTTTTATTGGTTTGGTTTGGTTTGTTTTTTACAAAACAAGGTTTCTTAATGTAGCCTTGGCTGTCATGAAACTCACTGGACTAGGGCCGGCCTTTTGAGACTCATCGAGCCTGCCTCTGCCTCCTGAGCCCTGGAATTAAGGTGTGCACCACCACACCTGGCTTGCCTAGAGCCTGATCTTAATAGAGGCATTTTCTTGAGACTCCCTCCTCTTTATATGTCTATAGCATGTGTCAAACTGACATAAAACTCACCAGCCCAAGTGCCTATGTAGTTACATAAACCCCTGGTTTTGATCCCTCAAATGACATAAAACCAGGTGTGTTATATACCTGTAATCCCAGTGCTTAGGAGGTAGTGGAAGGAGGGCCAGTAGTTGAAGGTCATCTACAGATATATAGTAAGCCACTCAAGGCTACATGGGACCCTATCTCAAATAATTTATTTTCCAAAGGGATTTTGCCACTTTAGTAAAAAGTGAGTTTGTCAGCTAGACTAGACATATACCTAATATTGGCAATAGAAAGATAAGGGTTTTGTTTGTTTGGTTGGTTGGTTGGTTGGTATTATGTCTTAAACAGAAGGGCTGGAAAGATGGCTTAGCCGAGGAAGAACACTTTTTCTTGCAGAGGATCTGGGCGTGGTCCCCAGCAGTTAGAGGGGCTTAGATGCCCTCTTCTCACCTCCACAGGTACCTGAGATGCATGTGGTACCCACACATGCAGTCAGGCACACTTATGCACATAAATAAACATGCTTTGTAAAATATGAAAAAGGACTGGGGAATTGGCTTCTCTTCCAGAGGACCCACAGTGTGGCTAACACCTACTATAACTCTAGATCTGATGCCCACTTCTGGCCTCCAAGGGCACTGCATGTACACTGTACAGACACACATGCAGGCAAAACACCCATATACATAAAAAAAATAAAAAACATTTTAAAAGAAAAACATAAAAAGAGAACAAAGGCAAGTTCAAGGACATGATCAGATTTAGCAGCACGTGTCTATAAGCCCAGCATTTGGACAGCTAAGAGACAGTCTTTTTTAGTTCTAGGCCTTAGCAGAGGGTTAGGTTTCCTTGAAAATCAAGAGGTGAGGCACATAGCTCAGTGGCAGAATGGTTGCCTGCTCTGCTGGAGCCCTTGATTCCCGGGACTACAGGAGTGTTTTAGGTTGGCTGAGGCCTGGGAGTTTGGCTCAGTAGAGCACGTCCTAGCATGTGCAGTGCCCTGAGCACCAAAAGTCAAGGCAGGTGGCAGGCAGTAGGGTGAGAAGACATTTCCAGTGTTCCTCAGCAAGTAACTAAGCCTTGATATTTGTGTTTGTCAAGGGTCTGTCATGAACTTGATAAGGAAAGATCCAGGACCCACCCAAAAAAATGAGCAGTTCACAGAAGAGCATATTTAAATGACCAACAAACAAAAGTTCAAGGAAATAAAAGTAAAGCGATAATCCTTTCTACCCTTTTGCTGCCCAGTTCAAGAAAAGAGCAAGACGCCTTTCTTTGAGATAAAAATACAAATTTCTGTGGCTTTTTAAAAGCACCCTAATGTTTGTTCAGTTCATCAGTCTCTGAAGAAGCTCTGCCAGCATAAAGTAAGAAAAAACAAAACTGGGTGATAGGGATTTAGCTTATTGGTAGAGCGCTGGCTAGGCAAGCTCTGGAAAAAAAAAAAGAATAAACAAAACTGGCAGTTGGATGCCTGTGGATGGGGGATCAAAGGCCCACCACTGGTTTTAGAGAGGTTTGTGCTCTGTATTACTGGGTGAGAAAATTAATGTGAAGATGATCATTTTAAGCCTGATCGTTTGAATAAAAGTTCACTGGGAAGAAATAAGTGTCGTCATATGTAGACTGTTAGGAGCATGTAGGGAGATTGTGTACAGGTTGTGAGACTGGAGGGATGAGCAGAGGGAAGGGTTGTCCACATGAAAACAGCATGAGTTCTTATTGCTGTGTGTTTGTGGAGTAGAGGCGAGCATGGGCGTTAATCACTGTAGTTACATTGGTTCTTTTTCTTTTAGCAGACTTTGTGGGCTGAGTGCGGTGGTGCAGCCTAGAACTCAGCTGAAGTTAGGTTTTCCCATGGTGCTGCTCCTCACTGAATGCTGTTCCTCTGTAGGAAACTGCAAGTTCCTTTCAAGTATCATGTGTCAGCAAAGTGCAGATGTGATTTTTGAATGCCGTTTGCTGGGGAAGGTGCTTGGGTGAGATAAGGCCTCCCTCAGTATCATAGATGGCCTGAAACTCAGTGTCAGTCCTCTTGTCTGAGCCTCCTAAGTCTCAGGATTATAAATAAGTATGAGATACCATTTGTTAAATGATGAAACTCAAAGTATTTTAGGGACTGGGGAGAGGTCTCAGCTGTGAAGAGCACTTACTGCTCTTGCACAGGACCTGGGTTCAAGTCCCAGACCCACATCAGACAGTTCACAACTTCCTGAACTTCCATCACTCTATGGGTGCATAAGCTCATTCAGGCACAAGCTCGGACACAGAAGCTTAAAAATAATACATCTTTTGGTTTTCAAGGTACGGTTTCTCTGTGGAGCTCTAGTTGTCTTAGAACTTGCTCTGTAGACCAGGCTGGCCTTGAACTCACAGAAATCCCCCCACCTCTGCCTCCCAGGTGCTGGGATTACAGGTGCACACCACCACACCTAGCATCCCTTTTTTTTTTTTTTTTAAGTATTAATGTATCTTTTTTGTTTTGTTTTGTTTCTTAAGTATATTAACGTATCTGCTTCTGTTTTGTTTCTTTTTGGTTTGGGGTTTTTTTGGGGGTTTTTTTTGGTCATGTACCTGCAGGTCAGTGTTTGTCTGGAAATTTCTATGTGAGAGGTGATGGCACCAGAGTCTACTTCTTCACACAAGGTATGAAAAAGATGATCCTTATCAGTGCCAAAGGCAATGTCTGCCAGATCTGGTTGACAGTTGCCTGCTCTTAAGTCACCTGGTCCTCCTGCCTTTCTAAAGAGTTTGCCTCGCATACAATGCCCTTTTGTTGTTGTTGTTGTTGTTGTTGTTGTTGTTGATGGAGACAGGGTTTCTCTGTGTAGCTCTGGCTATCCTGGCACTCATTCTGTAGACCAGGCTGGCCTTGAACTCATAGAGGTCTGCCTGTCTCTGCCTCCCAAATGCTATGATTAAAGGTGTGTGCCACCACTACCTAGCTGTATAATGTGTTTTAAGCTTTGGTTTTTGGATTTTTCTCTTGTTTTGTTTTTAATGTGTTTGAATGTTTGCCTGTATATTTGTGTAACATGAGCATGCCTCATCCCCTCAGAGGCCAAAGGAGTGTGTTGGTGGCCCTGGAGGTAGAGTTGCAGATGGTTCTGAGCCATCATGTGGGTGCTGGGAATCAAACCTAGGTCCTCTGGAAGAACAGCCAGTGTTCTTTACTGCGGAGCCATCTTTCCATTCCCACATGTGTTTGTGGAGCCTTTAAGAGCTTTTTATAAACTGAACTTACATAAATATGGTGTTAATAACTGATCAGTAATAATTGGGGAGTAGTTTTTACACAACATTGAGACCAGAGATTCTTCATAGAAATGACAATGTCCACGACCAGTCTGTAACCAGATCTCAAGGCACAAAAATCAGCATCTGAATACACAGTGCACAGAAACATCCTCCCAACACAGCTAGTGACATGAAAGGAATATAATCCCAACACTGGAAAAGCAGAGACAAGAGGATCCCTGGGTCTTGCTAGCAAGCCATTCTAACCTACTTAGTTTCCAGGCCAGTGAGGGGCCAAAAAATAAAACTCCCCATTGTAGGCCTGGAGGTGGGGAGGTTGGTACCCAAACCTGGACCTGTCATTTGCCAAACTGTCACTACATGAGTAAGTAGCCAAGGCTGCTAAAGGCTTCCTAAACATGGTGACAGCAAATGTCTCAAGGTTCAGTTAACATGAAGAGTCATCAGCAAACTGCCCTTTCTCCAGAGGATCATCTGTAAATGTCTGCTCTTCCTAAGCAGGGGAGCTGGATGCACTCTTCACTGCTGCAGGCCTGGAGAAGTCTCAGAACCTGGTGGATCGCCGCTTGCAGGTCAACCGAGGGAAACAGCTCACCATGTACCGCGTCTGGATTCAGTGCAAATACAGGAAGCCCCTCGTGCCCAGTGCCAGCCAAGATGTGCCTGCTCCCCACACAACATAAGCTCTTTGTGTTCAGGGCTTTCTAAGAAGATACCTGTGAAGGTGCCTTGTTGATGTTGGACAGCCTGGGAATCCAAGTAGCTCAGATATTGAGCCTAGGGACAATTACTTTCTAATATTAATAATTGTGGCTTTTGGCTGGGCATGGTGGTTCGAGCCTTTATTTCCATTAAGGGAGACAGAGGCAGGCAGACCTCTATGTTTGAGGCCAGCCTGGTCTACAGAGTGTGTTCTACGATAGCCGGGACTACACAGAGAAACCCTGTCTCCACAAGCAAACAAACAGAAAACAGTTGTGGTTTTTTATTTGGGAAGGCTGTTGACTTAAACTTTCTACACAGAGAAACCCTGCCTCCACAAGCAAACAAACAGAAAACAGTTGTGGTCTTTTATTTGGGAAGGCTGTTGACTCACACTTTCTCAAGTTCATTTCTTTATTATTATTTAGTCGGGGCGAGGCCATGATGAGCATGTGGAGTCCAGAGGACACCTTGCAGGACTCACTTCTCTGCTACATGTCTGTCCTGGAATTCAAACTCAGGCTTGCCAGCAAACACTCTTGAGCTTTTCACTAGCTCTCAAATTTTAAAGACTAGAATTTTATATACAGAAAAACTCACTGTGTCTAAAATGACCTTGAACTTTAGATACTCCTGCCTTCACATCTCTGGGTGGTGGTGGCCCACACTTTTAATCCTGCCAGAAGCAGTGGATCTCTGAGTTCAAGACCAGCCTGGTCTACAGAGTTAGTTCCATGACAGCCAGAGAAACCCTGTCTCAAAGGGGGAAAAAAAAGAAAGAACATCTATACAAGCCTGACCAAGTGTGATTGCTCACAGGAGTAATCCCTGCAGGGCAAAGCTGAGGCCTGAAGGATCCCTGTAAGATCAAGTCTAGCCTGGACTGCAGTGTAAAACTCTCAGAAGGGTTTCAAATACGGCTCAGCAGTAGAGCACAAGTGCTGGAGCCCAAGACATGGTATTCTATAACTCTAATCCTAGCACGTGGGAATCTGAGATAGGAGAATTGCCTTAAGTTCAAGGCCAGCTCAGGCTATATAGTGAAGGCCTGCCTCAGCTCTCCCATCTCCCATGTGATAGTACTGTATTAATACACATGTCATGTGACTATAGAATGCATTACAAGGTTTTGGAAACTCCAGTTTCTGCCGTAATTGATACATAAGGATTGCCGAGTCATAGGGGAAGAAGCAACATGAGAAGTATCTGTTGTAGGATGTTTTGCTTAGAATTTCAAAATGCTTAGTGTGGTAGTGCGCATGAGTAGTCCCAGCACTCAGAGGGCTGATGCAGGAAGATCTGTTCAGTGCCAGCCTGGCTGTGCAGGAAGACCCTGTCTCAGAAAGTATCTTAATTTTGGTAAGTAATTAATTCTAGGCCCTTGAAATCTAGGTTCCCTTTATGCACTTCACTTCCAGACCGTGTCTAAGGAATTTTTAGAAATCCTTCGCTTTTAGCAAAATTGTCTCCTTCTCATTGTGCCCTTAAATATTTGCTTCAATAGCAAATGGAGAAAACATGGTCCCCTCACTTGACTTTGAATGTGGTCGCCATACACGTAGAGTTACACATTTTCATCTTCCTTTCCAATCGTGCATGCAGCAACGGGGTATGTTCTTAATTTCAGCAGATAAGGGATTTTCAGTTCTTCATTTCAGATTTTCAGTGTTCCCATAATTGCTTCACTGATGTGTCTCTAAGACAGGCATCTTTCCAGTTACCTAAATGTTTGGAAAATGGGGATTCTTTCTTTCCATAAGGAAAAAAAAAAGGCTTAAGAGCAGGCTGAGTGTAGTGGTACACACCTGTTATTCCAGCATTTGGGAAGCTGAGGCAGGAGATTGGATCAGTCGTTCTCTGATTTAATTGGATCTGAAACTATAGCTTAGAGAGTGTTAGGCCATTCCAAACTTACAGAAAAGTTTAGTGTAAGAGCACTGCAGTGGCTAGGCATGGTGCCACAGGCTCATAATCCCAACAACCCCTTTCTAAAAGCCAAGGAGGGGGATTGCCTCCTGGGCTACTGAAGGAGTTCAAGGCTAGCTGAACAAACTAGCCCCTCTCTCAAACATCTGATGACATAAGTCAGTGCTAGAGTGCTGGGTATTTGCTAAGCCATAGGTTCAGTCCCCAGTACCTCGTCAAATAAAGTTTCCTGTAATACATGAGGGCAGGTCACAGGGGAGATCTTCCAGCCCTGCGTATTTTAATGTATAATTTGTTCAACTGGAAACACCTCCTTTACCACAGGTAGAACATGGTGACCTCCCGGCCATCTGCACACCATGCAAGCCTTTCTGATGTCCTCCTCACACAAAAGCGCCATGTGCAGCTGCATCATTACTGTGCCTAGGTCACCTAGGGCCTGGAACACTTTGCTCCCTTCCTTAACCTTGACACCCTAAGAGTGCATTTGTAAGTTGCCAGGCCAGCTTCGTTTGTGTCCCTGTGGGCAGGAACAGAAGTGATGGGTACCTTTTAATACCTCCATTCTGGGGGCTGGAAAGAAGGTGCAGCAGGTTCCTTGTAGGCAGCACTTGCTGCCAAGCATGCCAGCCTGAGTTCACTTCCCCAGGACCCACTTGGTGGAGGGAGAGAACCAATGTATGCTATGGCATGTGTGCCCGCAGGCATACACACAAAGTAATAAATAAATTTATTTTTTTAACCTTTACTTTGGGTGATGTGCTTACTTGAAATGGTGTTTGGTAGGTCCTTGTACTGTTATCTCTAAGTAGGGTGTGAGGGCGACCCCGCCTGTGCCAGCTGTCACCCCATTGCTCACCAGCTAAGAGGTGTCCCCTTCCTCCTTCCCCATCAGAGAGAACAGCCTTCCTCAGCTAGAGGAAGACTGGTCTTCAGCTCCCTGCTGGAATCTCCAAACTCTGGTCATCAAGTATTGGGGAGGGGAGTGCTTGTCACGTGTGCCCTCATCACACATTTTCCATGGGCTCTGTATCCAAAGGGTTTCAGCCGAATCATTCTCATAGTGCCAAATGTGTATGTGGCTTATACATCTGTACATGTGTATACATACGTGTGTATACACTCATGATGAAGCCAGAGGCTGGCATCTTTATAACACCTTCCACTTTTTTTTTTTTTTTTTTTTTTTTTTTTTTTGTAGACAGTTTCTCTTTAAACCTGCCATTTCAACTAGATGGCTGCTAGTGAGCCCTAGAGGGCCTCCTGTCAGCACTTACCCGGCTGGCACTGGGATTGCAACAGGCTGTACCACTGCTCTTCCCTGTGGTCTGAGTACTTCGCTGCCTGTGCTGTCTTCCCCTATATATACTATAGCAGTCTCTAGCCTCCGGTCCCCACTCCCCTCCAGCATAAGAAATGGCTTTCGTGTGTGGTTTTTTGTTCGATTGCTTCAGTTGGTTTTGTCTGTTTAAGTCAAAGTCTCGTGTATCCCAGGGTGGCATCAAATTCAGTATGTAGCTGAGGATGACCTTGAACAACTGATCCTCCTGCCTCTACCCCTTGAGTGATAGGACTCACACCCACTGCCTGCCGTTTGGGCTTCCGTGCGTGTTAGTGACGCACTACCTCCTGGGCTGTGGGCTGTACCCTTGGTCCTTGGAGAAGAGCTGTTCTACTTTGGGAGTGGGGAGGGGGGCGGGGGGAGAGGGTTGTTTTTTAAATTTTCTTTTACTTTTAACTATGTGTCTATCTTTGTGTGGGCGTATCCATGAGTGCCTGTAGAAGCCAGAGGTAAGGTGTTCCCACCGGAAATAGGTGCTAAGGACCAACTCAGGTCTGCAAGGACAATACTTGCTCTTATCACTGAGCAATCCAGTCCTGGGCTCGGCTTTTTTTTTTTTTTAATTCAATGATGATCCATTTCTATTTATTATTTGGGATTTGGTTTTTACTTGGTTTCTGTTTGGGGTTCTTTACTGGGGGAGGGCCAGGTTGAGAAAAACTATGTAGTCTAGGCTAGCCTCTAACTCAGTATTTCTGTCTCAGCCTCCAGAGTGCTGACATGATAGATGCACACCACTATACCCAGCTACAGCTAGGTTGTAGCATTCAGTGGTGAGTCAAATGTGAGCTCTGTATAGGCGGATACAGGAGGGCTGCGACAGGTTCAAGGCCGGCCTGGATATACAGTCAAAACCAGCCTGAGAAACTTAGTGAAGCCCTGTCTCTTAGTATAAAGAGGGCTAAAATGTAGAGGTCAGGCCAGACAGTGGTGGTGTACGCCTTCAATCCCAGCAGAGGCAGCCTGGTTTCTGTGAGTTGGCGGCCAAGCCTGGTCTACAGATCGAGTTCCAGGACACACAGAACTACACAGAGAAACCCTGTCTTGAACCACCACCCCCCCTCCCAGAAAAAAAGATACAGCTCAATGGTACAGAACTTACCTAATGGTTGAGAACCCAGGCTCAGTCCCCATTATAAAAAGTTCAAAATGTTAAGTTTTCGGGAAGCCAGTTAGAAGCTTGGTGTGGTAGTGTGAACCTGTAACTCCAGCATCAAGGTGCTGAGGAAGATAGTAAGCCCTGTGCACAGGTGTGTGTGTGTGTGCGCGTGCGTGTGTGCGCGCGCTCACTCACTTTTTTCTGAAGATGGTTTCTCTGTAGCCCTGGCTGTCCTGGAACTCACTCTATAGACCAGGCTGGCCTTGAACTCACAGAGATGTGCCTGCCTCTGCCTCCTGAGTGCTGGGATCAAAGGTGTGTGCCAATTATTATTATTACTATTATTATTATTATTATTATTATTATTATTATTATTATTACAGTGAAGTGGAGAGGCTGGAGAGATGGCTCAACAGTTAAGAGCACTGACTGCTTTTCTAGTTGACCCAGGTTCAATTCCCAACACCCACATGGCAGCTCACAACTGTAACTCCAAGATCTGACACCCTCACATAGATATACATGCAGACTGAACATCAATGCACATAAAATAAAGTAAAAAAAAAAAGCAGGTGGAACTGGGTGGTAGTAGCACACCTTCAGTTCCAGCGCTCAGAAAGCAGAGGCAGGTGGATCTCTCTGAGTTCGAGGCCAGCCTGGTCTAAAGTGAGTTCCAGAGAAACCCTTTTTTTTTTTTTTTTGAGAAACCCTGTCTTGACAAATAAACAAACAAAAAACCATCGAGGTGGGAAACAAAG